TACCTATATTTTAGCAATTCATTATTATATTTTCGTAATCAAAACCAAAAAGATAAATGTAATTACATAATAATTACGCTATTTTTATTTTATTTTGCATTATTTTTTGTAAAACCTTGTCTCTTTTTAGTGTTGTAAGTTTTTATTTTTTATTTTTAGATTTTATTAATTCATAAATTTTGCAAACTTTATAAAAATAATTGTAGATTATTTGTTTTAATAAATTGCAAACGGAGATTACTTTTTAATTTTCTTTTTAAAATTATTTCTGAGTTTGTAATTTTATTATATTTTTGTCAAATTTCGGTTAAGTAATTAAATAATTTGAACTATGGAGTTTCAAAAAGGAAGAAGAGAATTCTTAATCGCTTACCTATATTTGAGCAATTCATTATTGTATTTTTCGTAATCAAAACTAAAAAGATAAATGTAATTACATAATAATATAACTTTTTTTTGAAACTATTGAAACTGTTACGTTAAAAATAATACAATTTTCTTAAAATTTTGATATTTTTTAAAATGATATTAGTATTTTATTATGCAAAAAAAATATATAATTTGTGAAGTTAATTTTATGTTTGACACAGTTAAAGTAAAAGAATATAAAAATGTATAGTTTAAGTAAAAAGTTTAAACTAATTGAATATCCAAGAATATATATGTTCGTGAAAAAGTTTATTTATTTTAAAAAAATATAAATCCCAATTTTTGGGTGTTGACAGTTGGTATTAATTGAAAAATTACATTTTAAAAATAATTTAAAATAAATTTTTTAAGAATCGAAAGATGCAATTTTTTAGTAATTGCTAATATGTGTATCATTTTTTTACGAATCGAAAGATGCAAATTTTTAGTGATTGCTAATATATGTCTATTTTTTTTTAAAATGATCTTTTTAAAAAAAAAAAAAAAAAAAAGAAGACCTTTTTAATACATAAATGTTGAGATTAATTCTGGTGCTGACATGTGGCGTTTTTTTTTCTCCTATTATATATAGATAGATATATAGATAGATTGCGATGATCGTGACATATATCTCTCAATTGCCTCAATTATACTCAAACTAACATATTCTTAGGTCTGTTAAATTTGATGTTTGATTTAGATTATTACAAGTAATTTGATTGCACGTGTTTGATAATCTAGTTCATCACAACCCTCCCCCTCAATTTTATTTACCTTGATTGCAAACAAATAGTGAACCTTACACTAATTGGGGCAAAATCATTCAAAATCATTCTTATTCTCTGTGATTTGACTCTGACTCTAAGTTGTGTAATTATATCTAATGATGCTTGTGTACATCTTTTGTAATTGATTTGTGTACTTGGATGTTATCACCAACTATTTTACTAACCGACCTTTTGATTTTGCAGGTACAGTAAATTTTACAACTTTTAGCATTTTCCCATTGAAGAATGAAAATTTCTACATGTTGATTAACTTGTAATTTTTTCTCTATCTGATGTGTGGTATTAATATTCTTTGAAGGTTCTTTTATCAGGAGAGTTCTGATAAATGATTCGGGTGTCGGATCTTTACCTTTTTTTCGATCTCCATTGCCATCAATGTTGATCTTTGAAGTTCAACAACCATGGTAGTGGAGCAGAGGTCACGGACAAGGGACGATCTTTTGGAGATTTATTCCTAAATACTAGATATGAAAAGGCCCGTTAACGGGTCCAAAATTACAGTCTTAAATTATATTTATACGTAATCAATCATATTCTTAAACAATAAATTGATTTTCAATATTTTTACATAAATAAATTAAAGAGTAATAATGGGCATTAGACTTTGAAGTGCTTTTTTTTTATTTCTATAAAATTTAAAAATAACTTATGACTTATATAAGTTATCGTGACTAATATTAAAAGAATATGTAATCTAATATTCATTTAAACATTATGTTAGACATTAACATCAAAATTAAATGACAAATATATGTTGGATATATATAAAATATGTCATCTTCTTTAATTTTATGTATTCGACTCATATGAAAAAGGGCAAACCTCAAGCATGTTCTAATTGGGTGGACGTTGGTATAATTAACTGAGATGACATGTTTATGTAGTTAACATAACTATCTAATAAGCATTTGTAATCACGCATACATAGTTATTATTTTCAAAATTTGAACAAAAAATATGTGAAGTGATTAGATGCTCCATCTGAACAAGCCGTAGTTTGAGTATCAACATGAAATTTAGTGACAAGTTTAATGGATTATTAATATATAAAGCCAAGTCATAAATTTATTTTATTTAAATAATATTAAAATACTATATCTAACTCGCACAACTACAGTTTCATTCAAAAAAAAATTTGTTTATAACAAATTAACAAAACTTTGGGTAATATTACATTTGTTTTGTCTATCTTAAAGATAAAAATACTTTTTTTGTAATAATATTTTTACTTTTTTAGTATGATGAAAATTTGTTTTAAAGTTTTTGATCATGGTGAGATGATTCATACTTAAAAGTATTTGTGTCATTTATGTCTCTAATGAGAGATATTACATGTAGTTTCAAAGCATAAGTTATGTTTGTAAGTTTTCTGTGTAGATTCAATTGATAAATCTTTTAATAATCTTTTTCTTTTTATGAATTACAGCTACATATAAAATATTTTTGAAATTTAAATTTGTCCGTATAGTTTGTTCATGAAATTTATTAATATTTTAAAAATGAGATAATTTGTTGAAAAAGAAATTAATTCCCCCTTCTTATTTGAGACAAGAGAATAGTAGTATTGAAAATTAATTGGTAATTTATCAAAATTTGCATTGTTTGACTTTCAAAAAGAAAATTATGATAAGTATTTAAGAATGACGGGAGTAATAAAAATTACATTTTACCGTTTAAATTTCTTTTGAACGTTTGAGTTCTAAAATTACCAAAAAAATGATTTATATAGTTAAAAACATTTTGAAAATTGTACTATTGAAAAATCTAAATGATTTATATAGTTAAAAACATTTTAAAAATTGTACTATTGAAAAATCTAACTTGATTTTAAATTGTGAGGACTAAATATAGAGCATCTAAAAAATATAGTGAAGATTGAATAATAAATGGGGTGCACAAAATACGAATGAAGTTGATAATGATTAAGCATTTAAAATTTATAATAGATAGTAAAATTGTAATGATATACAAAAAATGGTCCATATTGTTACACACGTTTAGAGGCTATTGGTGAGAGAATAAGACAAGGCTAAGTACATAGTACAATTTGTATTGCTCATTGTACAACTCTTCATAGCAATGGTCGTCCTTCCATGACTCTTCTATATAATAGAAATTTCGATCTCCATAGCTAGAGGCGATCTAGGATTTCGAGGCACTGGGTGCCAAGCAGAGGCGGACCCACATGATTTGATAGGGGTGCACCCGTTAACTTCAAAAAAACGTGCTTGAGAAACGTATAATCAACATTGCACCTATAAGAAGCGTAGGGGTGCCCTTGTGTAGTTGGGTACAAGCCAGAGGAACCACTTGCGAGAATACAATTCAAATCTAGCTAGTGCCCTATTTCATTATTTTTATTTTTATTTTAGCTTAGAGATCATATTTGAGCCATTAGTGACCAAGAAAATACTACATTATTCGTTAATTGTAGTAAAAGTTTTGCTAACTATCTAAATTAAGAAGTATTGATGCACCAAAATCTTCAAATTTTGAATTCGCGTAGACTCAGATTAAATCAACTTTAGATTCATATAGAATTATTTGTCTTATGGACGGATGGGTGAGAGGGATTAGGCGATGGACTGAAGGCAGAAGACTAAAGCTTTGATTAATGGCAGATTTTTGTTGTTGAAAAGTTTAAAGGAACAGCCAGGGTTTCAATAGTGAAGAGAAAATAAAAAAAAATTCTTTATGTTTAAACAAATAAAAGAAAAGTAAAAAAGTTAAATAAATTAGTTTAAAACTAATTATTGATTAATACTTAATTTTTTTATTATTTTTTAAAATTGATTAATACTTAATAATAAGTTAACAAGTAAAAAAAAACAAAAAAAAACAAAAGAGAATGTTCCTTGTAGGTTGTTAAAAAAGAAACGCTGCAGTAAAAAAAAAAACAAAAAAAGAAATGGTTGGCTGCAGTTGAAAAATAAATTTAAACAAAAAGCTGTTAGTGGGGTTCGATCCCGCGAACTTAGACACAAAAATTTGATCACCTACCACTGGCACAAGAGAACACTTTTGTTTATTGGGTGGAACATTTATTATTTATACATATGGCGTATATAAATACCTATATATAAATAGAGTTTCCATCGAAACTTGTGGGTGGCGTGGCACCCCACGGGTCTTAGTAGATCCGCCCCTGTCCATAGCCATCAATGGTAATGGTTATTTCTAAATATTCCAGATATTTATTCCTTTCCTGTTGGACCCGAATCATTTCATATGGGCCTTTGTTTTACGCTTTTGATTTTGGGTCAAGTTTTGTATAAGTTGGACCTTTTTTTTGTAAATAACTCTTGGTTCCATTTTATATTTTCTCTCTTTCAAAATAGTTGTCACGTTTTTTTTCTCGAAAATCAGTTTGATTTATTATCAAAACTAAATTAAATTAGGTTAATTTGAAATTTTAAAATTATATTTTAGATATTCGAGAATTATATGAAAAATAAAATAAATGACAATTTTTCTAATAGAAATATAATTCAAATATATATTTTAAAATGTTGGTCAAAGTTCATTTGTGGGAGTATATCTTAGCCCTTTTTGGGCTTTTAATATTTAAAAAAAATGAGAGAGGGGGAGAAGGATATAGGGAAAAAAATATTGTATAATAAATAATAATGGGATACATTAGCTCCACATGTCAATCAGCAAAAGGCTCATACAGATCTTTTGGATCTAGAGAGACATAAGTGTACTAGTGGAACGATTTTTATGGTCATTCCAATAATATTAAGGTGGTGAATTTGGAAAGAGTGTATAGGATAGAGATGTGAAATTGGTAAGGGAGAACAAAATATGGAGAATTTTGAAGAGCTTAAAAGATCAGTGGAGAGCGTAGAAATGGTGGATGATCATGCACACAACATTGTGGCGCTGGACTCCACTCTCCCTTTCCTTAGCTGCTTCTCTCAATCTGTAGGAGGCAAAACTGCATCTGATTTCCCTAATTCCACCGACTTCAAAGTACAACCAGCTTCATCTAACATGATTTTGTTAAGTACAAAAATGTGGACTAGTTATTAATTATACAAGTCCGACCAAAAATAAATAAATATATATAATTCTATGAAACAAGCTTCCTGACATGCAAAACTAAAAAAAATGAAATTTATCATATTCTCTTTCTTCCAAGCCTATCAATGCATAATTTCCATTGGTAAAGTGACTAAATTGATAGGACTAACACTAATGCACAAAGTTTTTTTGAGAAGATAGTCAAAATGAAACATGCCAAGAGAAAGAGCATCTTGGCATTTTGTTCTTACCATCTCCACTTTTAAGAATTTAATATTAGTATAGTATAAATTCAGTCAGGAATACAACAAATATAACTTTAAAGTGGAAAGAATGTAAGATAAACATTAGATTATCGTTTTATCCCTATATTAAATTTATATGTTATAAATTATTTAATAAATGCTTCTACATTAAATTTAAATGTTATAAATTATTCAATAAATTAGATATTGAATAGTAAATTATTATATAAGTATATGAATCAACCATCATAAAGTCTCTTGAATATGTATTTTTGTGTAATTTCATGTTGGAGCAAATCAATGAATTATTTATTTTGTTCATCTTCCAATTGGAAACATGTATGTTTACGTTTGTCCTTCATAAAAAAGAAAAAAATAATACAAACTTATATTATACTTTTTTGATATATAAATATTTGTATTAATGTGAAGTATATATTACATAAATTGTACTATCAATAACTCTTCATTATGTGAATATATGTAACTCTCACTAATTATATGCATTATGATTTTTAATCACACCTCTCATCCTCATCAATGATCTCAAATGGATTACTTGTCATATTCATGACAATTCTTGATGCTCCTCAATCATATCCTATAAATAGTGACATTTGACACAATATTATACTCCCTCTGTCTCAATTTATGTTACTTACTTTCCTCCAAAAAAGAATGACACATTTCAATATTAAGTAACAATTTAACTATAAAATGTTTATTTTATCCTTAATGAAATGATTTACAGCCACACAAATTTCTATTATTCATTTTGGACCACAAGTTTTAAAAGTCTTCCTTTCTTTTTTAAACTTCGTGTCGAATCAAAGTACCTCACATAAATTGGGACGGAGGGGAGTACACACTTGATACAATTGAAAAAAAAGAAGAGAAAATCTCTATGCTCTCTTCTCTTGTTTTCTTTGATTTGTTTTGTTTAGTGTTTATGTTTTCCTTTTGTTGTTATTGTACAACTTTCTATTGGATTGTTATTGTTATTATTGAGAATTTGTTGTGGTTTGCTGCTTTGTATACATTAGTCTAGTTGGTATTTTAATATCCTCATTTGAATACTGTATTTGAACAATAGTTAGAGGGTATTTGAATTGGATTAAAAGTGGGTCAAACCTACTTTTAAGTGAGTTTTTGGCTTGCCTACAAAGAAAGACTACTTCCGAAGGAGAGGTTAGTAATACAGAATATTCCCACTAATACTAACATATGGTGCCTTTGTGATGAGGACGACTAGGATCAAAGAGACACAACTGCACCTATTCGCAAAATGTGGATGGGTATAAGCAGTCAGAAACAGATTGAGTAGCTAGCTGCCTAGCTAGGGATAAAAATACATTGCACAGGAGTATGTAACACACTCAAATTGATCAAGACAAGAAGGTGGAAACATGAATTCCAAATGGAGATAGTAGCATTTGAATGAAGGGCAATGATATATCTACTACACATGGCAGTCGAGGAATAACAAAAAAAATTAAGCCCACGAGTATACAACCTTAGTTTGTTATTACACAAATACAGAAGGAAATACATGAAAGAATATACATGTTACAATGCACAAATTAAAGAAAGTAAATAGATTTCAGGAGTTGATATTGAATCTTATGTAATTAGATGTTAGGTTTCTGATATCTAGTGGTTTGAGCTACCCTTCTTACAAGGTGGCCGAGAACACTAGAGGCTCCTTAGGTTGTACATATTTGGTTGGTGAGGTAATATTTCACATTTTATTTACAAAAAAAAGCATCTTTTGTGTGCCTTCCTCGGGATGCGTATCGAACATGACTCTTTGATTTTTCAGGCAACAATTATTTCCTTATTGTACATTTCAATTATGTAAATGTGATATGAGTCTTGGCTTCTATGTTGTACTTCTCCACATGTACTATTTATGAGAATAACATAGGGATAAAACAAAAATAAAAGTTCCCTCCACAAATCTTATTTAGGAGTGTGCTTGTATTATAAATTGTTACTTCATTCATGATGTCTGGCTAAGGACAAGCCGATGGTGTTCTTCTCATTTGAAATATTTACTTATTAATCATGGATCTGTTCTTACACAGTATCATTTTCTCCCTTTGTCATTCTTCTTACATCAGTAACTGTATCTTCCAGGTGAATCTAAATGAAATTTGTGAACTGTATGGCTCAAGCTTATCCTTGGATGCTGTTGAGGAATCTCGTCGATGCTTAGGGTTAGAGGCGAGTGCTGCAGTTTGCTTTAAAGCTGCAAGAATTGTTATCTTACTTATTGACGATGGAATTAAATTGGACAAAAAACTTGACATCAAATGGCATGAAAGACTTGTACCAACAGTTGGTAGAATACTACAAGTTGAGCATGCTGCTGAAAATATCCTTGAGAAGGTAATGGAATATTTTATATAGTAAACGAGATACACTACATATGTATTAGACCTTTAATCGCACCTAAAAAGTGTGCCCTAATTTACCACTACAACATACTGTGATGTTGATTGGGCTGCTTGTCCTATTACCAGCAAGTCTGTATCAGGATAGTTAGTTAAGTTTGGAGGTTCTCTTATATCCAGGAAATCCAAGAAATAGATTAATAAGTTTCTGGAAGTTCAACAGAAGCTAACTATAGAAGCATAACCAGCACAGTTGCAAAATTGATATGGTTATTATTATTACTTGGGGAGATTGGGATTGAAAATAAAGTTGCACAGTCTATCATGAAAGAAATTAACACATAAAAATGGATTTTCATTTCATAAGGATCAACCACCAGCTTACATATTAATATAAGTCCTCATCATTGTTCAACATGAATATATTAGTTACAGACTAGGACTTGTATACATTTTTAAAGTTCCTAGCTCGACGGTGAGGATATAGTAAGGTGTAACATAGAAGGATGGTTTGGTAGTTTCCCCTGTTTGCAAGAAGCTACTGTATAAGCTAGTTAACATTAACTAATTGCTCACTTAATCAGACTTTGTATATAGAGCAGATTATACTCTTGTTTTGTCACATTGAATGAACATTTTTTGTTATCTCTCTTATGTGTCCCACTTCTTCTTCCCCGTAATATTTAGGACTTATCCCCAGATTATATGGTTATAATGGGACATTTACATCTAGTCCTTATGAAGTGTATTACTTGAATCATTGGCATAAGTAAGTGAAAAGCTCATTCTTTCAGCATTCATATCTCTATTATATTTTTCTCATTGTTATATCTACTTTCTTAGATTTGTTAATGTGTTTCTCCTCTTATATTCTATTGCAGGGTTCAAATGGGGAGTCGTGGACACTGAGTTCATTTATGGAGACTTTCACTAAAGGAACTGAAGTCATATCCTTTAATGTTTTAGTCAATATATGTTTCTTTTGATTTATAATGAGTTAATATCTCGCAAGTTGTTCCTTAGTGTTGCACACAGAAGGTGCTAAAGTTGTTGCCTTTAAAAGTATTATTGCACATCGTTGTGGCCTTGCAATTAATACAAAAGTCACACAAAGGGAGGCTGAGGAGGGTCTGAATGACATTTTATGCGGTGAGTCTTACAAGATTTGGGGTTCTTATGCAAATGACTGTCAAGTAATTCTGATAATAGATTCTGTATTTCCAGCGGGGAAGCCAGTCAGAATCTCAAACAAGAACTTTAGTGATTATATTTTTATGCATGCTTTGGAGGTGGCTCAAAATTTTAACTTGCCAATGCAGATAGACACAAGGTGAAAAAAAGACTATTTTTCTGGTTACATGTTATATTGTTATTATTATTCGCAGTCCTTGAAGACTAGATTTTTCATTACAGTTTGGAGGAGAAGGATTTGGATCTGAGGCCAGGGAATCCCCTTAATCTCCGCAATCTTCTTGAGGATAAGAGATTCACTAAGAATCGATTAGTGCTTTTACATGCATCATTCCCTTTCTTAAAGGAAGCTTCATATCTTGCTTCAGTCTACCCTCAAGTATGTTCTTTTCTATCAACATGCCACATTGGAGAGTTTTTCACATATATGTGAACAAGCTTATATTTTTGTTTGTTTCCTTTACAGGTCTATCTTGATTTTGGGTTGAGGATTCCTAAGCCTAAATTTCATGGGTTGGTGTCCTCAGTGAAGGAACTTCTGGACCTTGCTCCCATCAATAAGGTTATTTCTGCACTTCAGCATACAAAATACTATCTTTTCAATTAAACCTAACCGATTTCAAATTATTATATTAGCTTCTTCACTACTAAAAAACTGTCAAAAAGAGACGAAAAAAAGCAACGGACTGCGTCGCTTGTTTGGCCAAAAGTGACGGAAAAGTGACGCAGTCAATCTCGTCACTTTTTGGCTCGACGCTTTTCCAAAAGCAACGGACTGCGTCGCTTTTGTTTTTGTTAAAAAATATATTTTTTTATGCGACGCCGTCTGTTGCTTTTTTAAAAAAAAAAAAAATTAAAAAAGAGACGAAGTCCGTCGCTTTAATTAATTTTTAATTTTTTTTAGAATCTTGAAAAGCGACGGACAATGAGACACCATCCGTCGCTTTTTTGGAAATAAAATTTTGAAAAATTCAGAAAAACAACGAACTAAAAGACCCTATCCGTCGCTTTTATGGGTTTTAAAAAAAATAAAATTAAAAAAAGTGACGGACTAAAGGACCCTGTCCGTCGCTTTTCTGGGTTTTAAAAAAATAAAATCCAGAAAAGCGACGGACAAAACCACCCTGTCCGTCACTTTTTCTGTAATTTTTTGGCAGTTTTTGCTGCCCACCTGCAAAAGCAATTCAACTCAATTCAATTCAGCCTCAATCAAACACAAAACATTATAAAGCTACACAAAATATAAAACAACAAACTTAAATTAACATTCCAAAATATCTAAAGCACAATATAAAGACTTATAAAGTCTTCCAAAATTCGTTTCAAAATTACAAATTGTTCATAAAGACTACATTTTATCAAGATTTCTAAAGTTCAACCTAATAATTAGTTCATAAATTCTATAAATCAAGATTCCTAAAGTTCACAACCTAAAGTTTAAAATTCTACAATAATTCAAGATTTCTAAAGTTCACAACTTAAAGTTCTAAAATTCCACAATAATTCAAGATTTCTAAAGTTCACAATCTAAAGTTCTAAAATCCTACAATAATTCAAGATTTCTAACCTAAAGCTCTAAAATCCTACAAAAATTCAAGTTCTCTAAAGTTCACAACTTAAAATTCTAAAATCCTACAAAAAATCAAGTTCTCTAAAATTCACAACTTGAAGTTCTAATATTCTACTATAATTCAAGATTACTAACGTTTCACAACCTAAAGTTCTAAAATCCTACAAAATTTCAAGTTCTCTAAAGTTCACAACTTAAAGTTCTAAAATCCTACAATAATTCAAGATTTCTAACGTTCACAACCTTATAAAGTTCTAAAATTCTACAAAAATTCAAGTTTTCTAAAGTTCACAAATTTAAGTTCTAAAATCCTACAATAATTCAAGATTTCTAAAGTTCACAACCTAAAGTTCTAAAATCCTACAATAATTCAAGTTCTCTAAAGTTCACAACTTAAAGTTTTAAAATTCTACAATAATTCAAGATTTCTAACGTTTCATAACCTAAAGTTCCTACAAAAATTCAAGTTCTCTAAAGTTCACAACTTAAAGTTTTAAAATTCTACAATAATTCAAGATTTCTAACGTTTCATAACCTAAAGTTCCTACAAAAATTCAAGTTCTCTAAAGTTCACAACTTAAAGTTCTAACATCCTACAAAAATTCAAGTTCTCTAAAGTTCACAACTTAAAGTTCTAACATCCTACAAAAATTCAAGTTCTCTAAAGCTTACAACTTAAAGTTCTAAAATCCTATAATAATTCAAGATTTCTAACGCTCACAACCTTATAAAGTCTAAAATCCTACAAAAATTCAAGTTCTCTAAAGTTCATAACTTTAAGTTCTAAAATCCTACAATAATTCAAGATTTCTAAAGTTCACAACCTAAAATTCTAAAATCCTACAATAATTCAAGTTCTTTAAAGTTCATAACTTAAAGTTCTAAAATTCAAGTTCTCTAAAATTCACAACTTAAAGTTCTAATATTCTACAATAATTCAAGATTTCTAACGTTTCACAACCTAAAGTTCTAAAATATTACAAAAATTCAAGTTCTCTAAAGTTCACAACTTAAAGTTCTAAAATCCTACAATAATTCAAGATTTCTAACGATCACAACCTTATAAAGTTCTAAAATCCTACAAAATTCAAGTTCTCTAAAGTTCACAACTTTAAGTTCTAAAATCATACAATAATTCAAGATTTCTAAAATTCACAATCTAAAGTTCTAAAATCATACAATAATTCAAGATTTCTAAAGTTCACAACCTAATTAAAGTTCTAAAATCCTACAAAAATTCAAGTTCTAATTAAATTCAATAATTACTATCCAATTTCTAAAATTAGTTATATATAAACTTCTAATCCAAGAATTAATTAGTTATATTCAAGTTCCAAGTTCAAGGTCAACTTCAAGTTCTAAATTCAAGTTCATATCTAGTTATATATAAACTTATAATCCAACAATTAGTTATATATTCAAGTTCTAATTAAACAAAAACCTCATCGATCAATATATATTCATGACATTCAAACATTCATCACTATATAGTCATGACATTCAAACATTCATCATATACACTTCAATTACTAATTTCTAACTTCAAAGTAACACTTTACTAACTAACAATATATCCATCAAATTTCAAAAAAAAATCTCAATTCACAATCAAATTACATATTCTCAAGTTCAAACTAGTCCTAAAATAAAAAAATCCTAATTCATTCACTAATTACAATACCCAATTTAAAAATGCCCAATTTAAAAGAAAACCCTAAAATAAAAAATCTCCAATTCTCTACCTAACTAACAATAATCAAATCAAATTAACAATAACACAACCCAACAAACTAAAACAATAATATACTAACTAATAATCAACTATAATCACTAGAATTGAATAAAGAAACCTAAAACTAAACACCAACCTTAACAAAGAGGAGAGGCAGTGACGGGTGGTGATGGAGGGCGACGGGCGGTGACGGACGGCGACGGGCAAGGGCAGTGACGACGGTGGAGGTGGAGGCGGCATATGGTTGAGGGAGATTGATAGAGAGAAGGGAGAGAATAAGAGTGAAGAGAGAAGAAGAGAGAAGAGAGAGAGAGAAGAAAATAAGAGAGTCCCGATCTGGGTCAAAGATATTTTAAGAAAAGCGACGGACAACGTCTCTTTTAAAAAATAGTTGACCAAAATTTTGACAAAAAAGCGACGAACTAAGAGACGTTGTCCGTCGCTTTTCTTAAATGTTTGACCAGTCATGTTGACCAAAAAGCGACAGGCTTAGAGATGTTGTCTGTCGCTCCTTTAAAAAAATAATTAATCAATTAATTATTAATTATATATATATTTTGCACAAAAATCCGCGAAAAAAAGCAACGGACTAAGAGATGCCATCCGTCGCTTTTTGAAAAATAATTTAAAAAATAATTATTTTTATTAAAAAGCGACAGACAGCGTGGCAAATGGCGTCGCTTTTTGGAGCATCGTTTTTTAGTAGTGCTTCTCCATCACCTTTATTATTGCATTGTTTAAACAATGAGCATTTACTCGTGTAATGTTTAAATATCAACAGGTCATGATCACCTGTAGTGGCATCGCATTTGCTGAAACATTTTACCTAGGTATGTCTTGAGATTCTTATCTTGAATATTACAACAACAACAAACCCACTGAAATCCAAAAAAGTGGGGTTTGAGGAGATAGAGTATAAGCAGACCTTACATGAAAGTATGCATGCTTTATGAAAATGAATGTTTTATTATCAAGGTTGCTTCAAGATAAGCATCAATTAATTGTGAAAGGATTTTCTCACATATGCATGAATTGTGAAAGGTTTCTCACACTAAGAAATCATGATTAGTGAAAGATTTTCTCAAACATGATCTAAGGAGCTACTCTATGAATTTTTAAGCTTGGATGAGTAACTTAATTGTGTTTTTCCATGTATGATGATATGTATATGTTTATGACTATTCTGTTGGATTTTACATAGCACCGAGAGGATATTGAGATGGAGGCTCTCCCATTAGTAAATGTCGGGTGTCTAGTATCAATCTCCTTGTTCCTAACTACGTGCCCTTGTAGGATTGTTTTAAGTGACATAGCTATTGGATCAACCTAATCTAGAAGTTAAGGTCCTTGCCTTGGCATGTAAAGATATCTCTATTCGGTGTGAGAGCAAGACACCGGATTCCATGTTATAGCTCACGTGGTCTATGTCGGTTAATAGTAAATATCCCACAAATTGAACTAAATTTTTCTTGAATGTTTATGAAGCTTTTTTTTATTTTTAAAATGCATTGACCATGTTCATGATTTATGTCACGATCCAAAAATAGACGTGATGACACTTGTCTATTCCCACCAAGAAAAGTTAGCCTCAACACAACAAAAATGAAAGAAATACAGAAATATAAATCAAGAACAAGACATATGCGGAAAACTTATTCATTCTAAACACTACTCCAAAATTTGGTTGTCACGTGTACAAGACACTAAATACATAAACTGTAGAATTAAGAAATAAATATAAGTCTCAATCTTTGTTTCCCAAATAGAAAAAAGTATAAAGAAAATGAAAAAGAGGATTCGCCAATGTGAAATGCAGCTACCTCCCCAAATCCTTGACAAGCCTCAAATCAGAAGAAGGAGAAAGAGATCACACGTGTATGGGCTCAGAACCTACACAAGTGTAGAAGCAAGGGTTGAGTACCAACAACATGGCACTCAGTAGGCAACCTAATAAACAAGGAATCTAGCTAGAAATGAAATACTCCTTACACTCCAATCGAACCTCCTCAAACTATAACCTGCACAGAAATCAGCCCAACCCAACAGTTCTACATACACAGTTCACAAGGCCCAATATCCGCAGTACATAGTCACAAATCATTAATCAAACGAATCAATTAAGTCAATCTCAAAGTCAAGTAGTTCAGTCATACGCAACAAGTACATCAATCAAAATTAACAAGAAAATCATGTAGAAGCATCAAATGCATCAAGTCAAAATAATCAATTTCATGCTAGAACCATTTCCCACCAGCACAATATTGCTAGTCGGAACCAATTCCCATTGACTTTATATTAAATCACTAGCCGATACCATTTTCCATTGGCTTTATAAACACTTGCTGGAAATGACCTCGGCATAATCACACTCACCAGCAAAGACCACGGTATGATAATTCATCACATGTCTCATCACGGTGTTCAACAATAAATGCACACAAGCAATATCACACCACATAGGAGAGACAACAAATCATATATTTAAAGTTTACATTCATGCTTTCAAGAATTTAGTCAATCAATCAATGAGGGTCACAATAAGACAATTCACATCATCATGAACATCACATAGCCTTTTTAATGTCAACCCCTTTTTATTCATTTAAATGTAACAAGTGGATGATTAAACCCTTCACCTCATTCCCATTATTCCCAACACAGAAGCAACAAAGGAGGTACACAAATTATACTAGAATACAATGACACTTCAATAGTTGAGTCTTCCCCTTCCGAATCTTCCAAAGCCACACAATAACCACCAAGAATTCACAATCACTCACTAGAAACCAGAATACCCACATCAGTTCTCTTGAAAAATGGGTCAATCAACACAAAACCCAATTTCAAAATGAAGGTTTGAATTCAGAAAACAATACTTTAAAACAATGTTTAAGGCTTTAAGAACTCATTAGTGAAAACCATTTCGACAAAGGGATCAAAACCACTTCTAAATCACCATTTTAGATTAAAACTCAAGTTATTGCATAAACTTTGTCATTATCCAAATCAAATCCCATATTATGATTCTAGAATTCCTAAATAACAAAATGAAAATGAAGGTTTAGGACCAATAAAGCTTACCCAAATAATTTAGCACAAAAAAACATTTCACAAATTGCCTCCAAGGGTTCCCCAAGCTCAAAAATGGAAGATAAGGCTTAAACCTCGAAATTTGTAGGTCAAAAACCTTCTCAGGTCTCGTAAAAGCGACCAGGGTTTGCTTAAGTGAACCTCGCAAAAAGTGCGGCTCTCGCTTCTGTGAAGGTCACAAAAGTGACCGATCTTTGCAAAAGCGAGGCTTGCAGACACCAACAAATACAACCAACTCTCAAAGCATCAAAAGGACCCTCAGATTTCGTTTAGAACCACGTGCACTCAAACCACATACATATATCAATTATTCTCCAAGTTCCGGACTTAATGGAATCATCAAAACATAAATCCAAGGTCTCCTTGACCCGACATGCATGAAAAACCAGAAGAAACCCTAAAAAAGCTAAACCAAGCGTGGAACCTTCAAAATCAATCAAAACCTCACATAGGCCTAAAATTATCACTTGAATCCAACGGAATTCTCGAAATTTCGATCCGAGCATCTGAACCCCGAATGGTGACCAAAGTCAACCAAAAGGCTAAATTTTCACAAATTCACAACTTAGGATCTCAAATCCTCAAAAAGACTTGGAATATGGAACCGCAACTCTCACAACTGAGGTTCCACATTCTGGGATTAATTGAATCGATGAAATTCCATTTCGACAAACTCCAAAAGACTCCAAAGATTACTTTCTTAACAATATAAGCCTTTCAATCTTAAAACTTACAAAAATTTCAAATTTTAACTCAAAGTTTAAAACTAACTTTTCAAACTCGATCAAAAAAGACTCGGGATCGATATTGGGAGGGGAAAAATGGTAAATTTATTAAACTTTCCAAAAATGACCGACCAAGTCATTACATTATTCACCACTAAAAATCATGTTTGTCCTTGAAGATAAAGCAAAATAAAGTACCTGAAGCTTTGAAAAACTGAGGATATCTAGCACGTATATCTGACTCTGCCTCCCAAGTCACCTCACTGACTGAACGATGCTTCCACTGCACCTTCACTGAAACAGTCTCTTTGGTCCTAAGCTTCCAGACAAGCCTATCCAAGATGGATATAAGCTCCTCCCCAAAGGATAAGTTTGGACCCAACTAAACCAAATTAAGAGAAAGTACATGGGACTCATGCGACACATACTTCTGAAGCATAAATACTTGAAATACGGGATGCACATCTGACGAACTAGATGGCAAGGCCAACATATAGGCCACCTCTCCCACATGAATCAAAATCTCAAAGGGTATAATGAATCTAGGGCTAACCTTGACCGTATTTCCGAACCTCAAAACCTCATTCATGGGCGACACTCGAAGCCAAACATGATCACCCTCCATGAACACTAGAATTCGAACTCTCCGATCTGCATAACTCTTGTCTCAACTCTGGGCTGTCAACAGTCTACCCTTAATCATACGAAGCTGCTCCATAGAATCTCTAAGCATGTCTGTATCCAATGAGTTCATCTCAGCTGAATCAAACCATCCGATCGGAGATCTACATCGTCTGTCATACAACGCCTCGAAATAGGCCATCTGAATACTGGAATGATAACTGTTGTTATAAACAAACTCTGCTAAGGGAAAATGTTGATCCCATCTAGCACCAAAATCAATCATACAAGCTTGGAGCATGTCCTCCAACACATGAATCGTCCGCTCGGACTGATCATCTGTCTGAGAATGAAAAGTTGTACTCATATCTAACCGAGTACCCAAACCATGCTGCAATCATTAACTAAAATTGGGAGACTCAACTAAAGAAGAGGAAGCTAGAGATGAGAAGCAAGATTTTGGAAGAATTATTGAATTGCTTTGAATTGTCTTGAATACAAATGTATAAGACCATCCCCTAGTTATACTTGTCTATGGATGGTTCTAAAAATTCTTCTAATTCTTCTAGATACATTCATAAGAAAGTTCTTCTATGCGCTCATGGAGCCTGCTTGAGTCCATTATCAAGCAAATAGTTCCTTTAGTATCTATACAGAATAGAGAATCATTGCCAAACAACTAACATCCAACTTGAATATAATATGTTAGCTAAGTGAGTTGTTCTTGTTTTTTTTTTACTATCTTCTATGTATTTTGGAGTAATTATAGTCTCAACTTGGTTTTATCTGTAGGTGCAAAGAAAGCACGTGAAGTGGTATTCAATGTTCTATGGGATGCATGCGTCCATGATGACCTTTCAATTACAGAAGCTATTGCAATTGTTAAAGCTATTTTTGCAGAAAATGCAAAGCAATTCTACAAGCTTGATGCTTCATCAAGATATTCTGATGTAGAACCTCAGTCTTTATCATATCCCTTCAAAAGGGAAGACTTAAATTGTCCATTGACAGATGTTACCGCTGTTCGCATTATTTGGTTAGATTTCTCTGCTCAACATAGATGCCGTGTAAGCTTTACCTTGTGTTTTTACTTATATAAGATTACGAATTGCTTAATGATATGTTTTTCAATGCCTACAACGTACCCAAACCTCTGTTCTCCTTTAAGAAAATACAGGATTTTGCATAGTGTACAAATAAAGTTATTGTCTATCAAACAACAAAAGATACATATATTGGGTAGTTAGTTCAAAATAAATCATGATGTACTTGTGCTTACAACATTCATACACATCAAAACCTGTGGATTAATATTGTTGCACACGATATTTGGAGGAGCATATCATACTTAACTCAGTTTCATCTAATCAAAGATGTTTTTCCTTTTCTTCTAATAGGCTACTGAGGAAGAAACTTGTACATTCTGGGTTTTTATTTTTGTGTTTACAAATGCATGCTTTATTTATGTACCAACAAAATATAGGAGTTTTAATTAACCTTATACAATGACTTGCCAATTATAAACTTAACAAAATATAGGATATAGCATGTTGCAATGGTTAATGAAGCTTTCAAGCTCAACCATATGGCAATGCATATCAGAACGAATTTCACTTGCTAGATTAAGATTTTTATCATGAAATTTCTTATTAGGCCGAAGAAAGACACTAAGAATAAGCATGTGATATATTTATTGATTAAGAAAGCAGATATTAAGTACGTGAACTCCAAACAAATAAAGCAAAATGTATTTTTTAAGACACCTCGGCGTAACCTGAAGTGATTTAGCACTAGTATGAGCAAAGTCATTTCATTTGTTGGTGTAGACTGTAGTTGTCAATATTTTTAAGTACTGTTATGGCATGATGTTGGATATTAATTGGCATTTCCTTTCTTTGATCAAAGTTATATTGAATTTGTTCATTTCTTGTTCATCACTTACAGGTTGCTCCCCAACATCGCTACTATAGTTGTGTGAAGAAACATGGTGTTGGCTTAACTGTTGAATGTATGAGATTGAGTTCAATATCTGATAATCTATGTGAAGAACATTCGCTTCCTTCCTCAGGTGAGGTCAGAGTTGTTCCTGACTTATCAACCAAATGCAAAATCCCCTGGTACGTAGTACTTCCAAACCTATGTATTGTTCAATCTTCTTTTCTCTATCCTCTTTAATATAACCTTTGATCAATTCTTTATGCTATCTTTAAATTTCATTTGGCAAGTCATAATGATAAGATGAGGAAACTCACCCACATATTCAGTGATTTATCGTGCCCCTTACTTCGTGGTTGTTACCTTCATCTTGAGTTCATAGTTTTGGGTTTCATCTTTGACTTTTGAGTAGGTTTACTTAAAAATATCACTTTATCAATTATTATCTCTCAAACCATAAAATTGTTGAATGACCAATGAGTCTTGCTCATGGAAAGTTCAAACATTGCCTGCCTGAGATGTTGCAAATCACTAGTCTTAGAGTTTTCTGGTAATAATGATGTTTTTAGCAGTAGTCTTGGAGGTTTCCGACTTTTTGACTTTTGACTTTTGGAGTAGGAGAATAGAGACGAGTAGCGATATTACTTGGTAAAGGGCGAAAAACTTTGCTACCGACTTTATGTGACCATCTTTATCTAAAATCTCAAATACTAATTAGTGAGAGAGCATATTTTTATTTTCTTGATAATAATGTATTCTAACATGCCTCATGACGTGCGGGTTTGATTGTTTAGGCATGAAGATTCTGTTTGATAATTTGATGGTTGTAAAATTGGAACCCCAGATCTTTGCCATCACTGTAACCATGTTTGAAGTAGAGGAAAATGTGTACTTTACGGTAGATAATCACAACATACAACCTAGGTGATTTATATACACGGGTTCCAAAGATAGCCAACAAGCAAATCTGTACAAATCAGTGATAAAAATCAAATCAAATCAAATCCTTCTAAGATAAACATGGAAAAAATAAACTAGCTCTTTACAAAAGAAATATCATTTCTATATAATGCATTCGAGTTAATCACTGACATGAGATTATCATGTTAAGTTGTGTAAGTACTCTTATGGAATCCAACCTGAAACTCACCACTATTGAGGCATGAGGAATGGATAGGTGCTAAGGTATATGAAAAAATTGAAGATATCGAAAGTTGCCAATGACTTGTAGGGAGGCAATTGTACATTCATGACTAGGCGTAATATTGTACAAATTTTGAGTCAATTTCATGCATTATCCACAACAATCTTGTATGAAAGTTGCATGAAGAGTTGTTAGATGTATAAAATATGCATCTGATATAGGAATTTTAATTTCAGCAAAAGGATCAACAAAGCTTACTGCCTATTATAATGCTAATTTTGTTGTATTCCGGCCATGCTATAAGAAGATTAGACACTTTTTTATAAAGTGAAATTATATGTGTAAAATATCTGAATTATTGGAAGTCCAAAAAACAAAATACAATCACTAAGAAATATGCTGAAGCAGAACATGAAGCATGGCCAACACAACTCAAGTTAGTTAGGTTACTTTTTTGTTAAAAGTTGTATGCATATTATATTGATGTCCAATACTTTCATTGTTTGATATTGTTTGTGATAAAGATATTGACCTTGGCGTGACAACTGTTTGTTTTAGTTATCATGTTTTTCGGTAATTTGGAATAATTTTGTTGTTTTTAGATTTGTTATCTATTCGTGTGTACCTTTTGATCCAGGGCAAGAAATCAAGAAATGGTGTTGGCTGATATGTTAACTGAATCTGGTAAAGCATGGCAATATTGTCCAAGAGATGTACTTCGTAAATTCTCTAAAATTTTGGAAGATGAATTTGGTTTGGTATGTTATTAATATCTCTTGTCCATGACTTGAAATTTCAATACATTATTGAACTGATATCTATTTCTACCAATATATATATCTCCAGGTAACGAATGTAGGCATTGAAGTTGAATTTTACCTTTTTAAGAGTGTGTTAAAGTATGTCAGGAAATTCTCCCTAATAATTTGTGCTTATATTCTATGATATATATATATTGGAACACTAAAGAGGAAATAATACAGGGATGGAAAAGAAACATGGGCCAGAATTGACAAGACCTCTTACTGTTCTACAACAGCAATTGATGTTGCATCATTAGTGCTTCAAGAGATTGTTGCTTCTTTACACTCCAATATTCTAGTCGAACAGGTTAGTTTCCATTTTCTACAACTATTACCAAATTTATACTGCATTTCTTGTCTTTTTATTAGGGGTAATTTGATGCCCGAGATAAAATGTGGGACTATTGAATCATGTATTTGATTTACGCTTTTGATTCCAATATTATTAATTAGGATTATTTCTATCATAATTTTGATATTAGTCTTAGACCACATTCAAGTTGGATATTATTCTCCAGATTAGCTAAGATTAGCTAATCACATATTAAAACTACTAACTGATAAAGATGTTCATCTAAAGCACTTTAATCCCAATCTTCTTTAGGTAGCCAAGGTTGATACTGAAAATAAAATTTACCCAAATTTATCTTGTGTAAAAGCAAACACAAGCTTTATATTCAACCATGTATATCACATTTTTAGTCCAATGAATTAAATATCTAACAAAAAAGTGTATCCACTAAATAATCATGTTATTATATAATCTTTACTAAATTAAATATATTATAGATCCAATATAACTTATGAGCTTAATTAAGAGTTTGATGAAACAACATAAACTAGTACTCCCTTCTTTCTAATTATCCGACATTATTTCCTTATCAATTTGTTAAAAAAGATGATTTATGAGTTTGGAAATAATTGAATTTAAACTTCATATTTGTCCTTCATGATAAGATTTTATAGCCACAAAAATGTTATACTATATTTATGATCGTAATTTTCAAAATTCTTTTCTTATTTCTTAAAATCCTGTCATCCCTTATCAAATTTGGATCATGTATGTCGCGATAAAAAAATCAAGCCATGATAGCACCTACTATAATTCTCCAGTAGGTAAGCCAAAACTTAAAACTAAAGCGGAAAGAAAACACTTACCATTTATAAAGCGAAAACAGAAAAGAGATAAACGGGCCACCATGCATAGATATATACATAACATGTACAAAATACACAACATGGGCCTAAGGAATTAAACAAGGGAGCCAATCTATACAAAAGATATCAACCTCGGACCTGGCGGTACAAGAGCTACTAAAGTACAGAGAAAAGTTGTACAATACACAATTGTATGACTAATATAAAAAATATATAGATATATATAGTAGATAAAAGATAAAAATTAACAAGCCTTCGAATGTCAAGAGCTCCCCCACGATTCGTTAAACTAAAAGCCTCGAACAAACATGACATCAACACAAATGACTTGTACTAGGCATTGCATGAGAAAAAAGATGAAGAAGCATAATATGAGTAACAAAACGCACAGGATACTCAGTGGGCATCATAGGCCTGCCGAGCTAAGGAGATAACATATAATATAAAAGATAAGAGGAGTTAAATATCAGGAGCAACTTAGAAGTCTAGTCGTAACGAAAAAATAATAGAAATAAATAGAGATAGCTCTACTCACAAAATATACACATATATACATAAAAGAATGGTGCAGTGTAGTATGGGATGATGCAACGTGATATCTTGGTCAAGGAAGGAAAGTAAAACCCAGAATTATCTTTCGGCCACCAAAAATCATACCTCGAGCTCATCAACAAAAAGTAAACAGAGAAACAATTCGGGGACATCCCTCGAACCGAAGGTAAAGATGGTACAATCTTTCAAAATCGGAAAATCCCAGGATATCAATCTTGTCGTAATCCAAAAATCTATAGAAAATGATACCTTTCTTCTAAAAATCATAATCTAGTAAAATAAGTAGTACGCTCCCTCGAAGCTCAAATCAGCAAACGATGAGACATTTTAAATTTCAAAGCCAAAAATTAGTATTTTGCCTCCAAATCATACCATGATCCATGCATGTGCATATACATATGCGAGTGTATGCGTACCAACTCACGTATACATATACTTATATAATCAAACGTGAAATAAGACAATCAGTCAATCACCCTCCAAAACACAATCGTACATACCTGGAACTCAACCAATCCAAATTCAAGGCTTCAGGCTAACAATCTCAAACCAAATAAAAATGCTTACCGAAAGTGAAGCAACATTCAACACACCTAATTCATAAAAACTAATTTTACCACTAATCCCGTACCTAAACTCATACTAAGGATTTCCTTAATATAATCACACTAAAATTGTAAGCAACCTAAATTAAGGCTTAAGAAGAAATAGTATTCTAAGGATATCAAAATGACTGATTTATTCATTACTAAAATAAATCTAGTCCTACCTAGCCCAAAACCCCTAGCAATTCATGAATTTTATAATATATACTGTCTAATTGCGATAAGTCTAAAGAGAGGAGATTGTAATCTACCTCTCAGCCCAATGACACTCTACGAATCGTCACACAGAAGCCTTCCCCATCCATAAAGACTCATATTGTTGTCACGCTATCAGAAAAATAATCTACTCATCAATTATTTACTCACAGTACCCATATCGATAAATGCACAATTTAACCGAAAAATTGGCCCTTGAGACTCATCTACAAAAATAGAAATAAAATTCACAATCATCTTCCCCATAGGTAAGAATCCTGTAACCACAATTCGGACAAGCACGTGACTCAATTCGGGGTTCAACCTGAAGTCTCTAGATAAAAAACAGAATTCTACAAGGATTTTTGAGCTAAAATCATGAATAAAACAAGGAATCATATCTAGAATTAGCTGTAGAATATAAAGAGGAAGAAAATTGTCACGACCCGATTTCTCATGTCCTGATGACACCTACTACATCTCAACACTAGGTAAGCCAAAACCATAACTCGAAATCATGAGTAATGAGCTATCACGTGCGCAGAAGAAAACACTGAGGAAGCACTGAACAAATATCAAGAAATGAGAAGAAGAGATAACATAAATAAACGTACAAAACCACCCTAAGACCTAACATCAATTGGCAGTCGAACTTCTAGTTAAAATAGGAGTACAAGGCTTTACAAATACCATATATATATATATATATATAAAGCTATCCGTGCTTAAATTCCTAGCTTGAAAGCATTCTTTGAAGCAAAAATTCCGGTAAATCAAGCCTGCGTAGAATACTTGACTTTTCCATGTGCAAGACCACAAAAAGTATTACCCCCTAAATCTCAGCTCTGCGAAGGCCTTTCGGAGATTGACCTTTCTTTCTCTTCTTCCCGGTCTGATCGGTATGTTATCTTTGAATGCAAAATAAAGACTAGTTCTAGACAAAGCAAAGGAAGATTGGCAACTCCGTACGCCGGAAGATTGGCAACTCCGTACGCCGAGAGATCAGCCTAGTCTCCGAATTCCAAAAGTTGCTCCGCACGAGGTCCGAATCAGCAGCGATAACTCGTACTATGATATGCAGGTTTCAGAAGTGTATTATGAGTATCAACAAGTGATACTCCATAAGCATAGAACGACTGAGCTCCAAAGACAATGCAAGTATAAATAGCTGGTAAGGAAAGTACAACATAAATAACTAACGATAGATATCACATGACAATATAGGTAAACAAAGATGAAGGAGTAGAATGCACTGAGTAAGAGACTGGGACAAGGGAACATACATAGAGGTGCTACCCCAACAACCTAATCACGAAAAGGTCCTACTACAGATGCCAACTCACCAAGGATACCATTGGTAAACATAGCTACTCAACATAATCACTCAGGAGGTCAATTCAACCTAACCGAATCAAACACCAAGATAGGGACAAGTCCAACCCATACACATAACTACTATCAAATCAACATAAGATAGAAAATCGTACAATCAAACAATAACCTAACCAGACCCCATAAGCCCGGAAGGTACACAACAACAAACATAACCCAGCCGACCCCTCATAAGATCGGTAAGTGAAAATATCAATTGAATACACTAGTGATAGACAATGCATATAAATGCAAATTATGCAATAAAAACAAACTTAGCCATCAGAACCAAGTGCCACAACTAAGTTTGTACACTTACTTTTGCCCCTAGCAGCTAGGTAGGACCTATATAGATACCCTCATCCTATTCAATATGTCACACGACCAGAGGGATCCATAGAAAACTGGAGAAGTCCATATACATTGCCTGGTCCCGATCCAGGACATTGAAACTTATTCGTCATGCTACCAGATCTGATCTGTCATAGTATTAGAGACATAAATAGCCAAATCAATATTGAAAAAGGGTGATGATGCGCCAATTGATCGAGTAAGAAGTCAACACATCCAAATGCCTCTAATGTCTCAAAAACCAATTTATCAAAGTCATCCAGGTAGTACAACTTCCATCAAAACCATTTTTAAAAGAGTAAAAGTGTGAAATTTTTTCTCAAAAATAGCAGTTAAAATCTGATGCATGAGTCAGGATCGTACCACAAAACACGTGAAATAGGTTTCAAAAGTAATGCATGTCATTACCAACTTTCAAACAATAACAACTAAATCGCTAGATAAATACTACCAGTACTACCACACTCCGAGAGAACAGAAAACTAAGTTGAAATCCAACTGGTCCTCAACCAAGGCCTCGAGCCCAACAATCTACAAACATTCTCGACAATAACAACATAAAAAGCTCACCAGTACCCATAAAATGAAGGAATTAATCAAGAATTCAATAATCGAAAGAAGGGATAACTTAAGGATCAATGCCTAACCCCAAAGCTCACAACAATGCATATCTAATGCCAACCAATGGCAACTACGACAAGCAACTAAGGTTTCATGTTTAACATAGGGTACCAAACTCTAACAATCACTATAGGGCGGAACTAATAACTAAAGGATCACTAAAACTCATACATAGGCATCTAAGTCACCAACTAAATTAAGGCCTCAAGTATCAACTTTAAGGAGGGTAATTGCAGTAACTATTCACGTGCGAATCATACTAAACATTATTTAATAGATCATAAAAATACACCATAGCCTACCTCGAAACCAATCACGGGCGCTCTCAATCTATTGAACTATATTTTTCCCCTTCTGAATCATCTCTGGTCACCACCACACTATCATAATATTGATCACAATATCAATACAAATGTTTAGACACAAAAATCGAATCAATTGGAGATGGGCCCAAATTTGAGTTAAAAAGAATTGTAGGACCCACATTGGAATTCTAATTAACTTGACTCCATCATGGGTCCTAAAAAATTCAAGGAACTTGTTCCCAAAAAACCGGGCACACTCTGAGCTCGAGAACATGCTACAAAATCTCATGCAATACTTTGATCACCAAAAGCACCATTCAAGAGGCAAAAAAGGTCTTCAGGATGAGAAATTACTTTCAAAAGGCCGTGCATTGCCCCGCTGATCCCAACACGAAGCTCCATAAATTCTCAAACCAATGCAAGTGTTACCACCAAATTTGGAGCTTCCTAGCTAGATTTATTGATGTTTAAATCCTTAGAAGAGGGCTGATTAACAGACTGATCTAATTTAAAAGACTAGTTAATTAACTCGTGAATTTGGGACACTAGCTGCGATCGTGGTTGTGTCAATAAGCTTAGGTTAAATCTGACCCTTTTTGCAAACATAGAAGGCCATCTGCGAAGGGTCGAAGTGGCTTCTCTCCACTATCGCGGATCCATCTCACAATGTGAAGGCCAAAGCACCTAGTCTTTATGAACGTGATGATTGGCTCGCGAATGCGGAGATCAAAGTCTCTAGTCTCCAAAACGCAATGCAAGGTGAACGCAAAGATCAAATGGTGCTGCACCAAACCAACACCTCCCCAAATTTGGAATATACAAAATGCCCCTATAGGAATTCGAGATTTGTTTGGAAGCCTGTGCACACAAACAAGATAAGCTACCCCATCAAATTTGACATTTCAAACTCAACAAAGATGTCAAAACTTCTAGTCGAGGTCCTCTCGACAAAAAGTGGGTCCTACACTCAATATCTGTTTTAAGCCACAATCTACAAGATAGCTCGAAATGAGCTTGGAAGCCTCAGGTTTTGCATGGAAGGTCCTTCTAGACCAAACTCAATGGTTTGGAGCTAATGAAACCGTTAGAATATAGTTATGAGGTCATCTACCTAAAGTTTTGATCAAAGTCAACTGTTCAAGATTCAAAAGCTCTAAAACACAAAAACTTGCAAAAAAACCAAACGAATGACTAGGCAATTTAACTGTCTGTCCAACAAGTCATAAATAACTTGGGGTTGCTATATGAGAGGTTTAAAATATGAAAAGATTGAAAAATGGAGGAAATGGCCTAGAGGGTCATTACAAAATCCACTATTAAAAGGAATTTTATCCTTGAAAGTCAATGGATAGGAAAGGCCCGACGGCAAAAAAAGATGAGGGTACCAGGACTGCATTCTCCACTTGACCCCAGACACCCTCTCGGACCAAACAATGCCAAAACAGAACTCAGGCTAAGAGAAAACTCTCGAATTCACCTCTTCCTTCCAACACTCTAATCAGTCCTCTAAGTCCTTCCTTTGACTCCAACTCTTGCCCAATTGAACTGAACTCGACTGAAAGCACCATACTTAACTAACATTATATCACTATCATACATATACCACATAACTAAGAAAACACATGACACTGGAAGATGCAACCCAACCCAGAAATAGGGTTATCTACCATATGCTTCGAGCACAATGCCTTCTTATAATCAGAAGCATCTTGTCTATCTTGATTGAGTATCATATTTTTTGGATGAACTTGCTGGGAAATTTTGGTTTTTCAGAAATTATTGTTGATATAGTGTGGATGTTGGTTTCTAATAATTAGTATTATATACTCCCTCCGTCTCATTTTATATGTCATCCCTTCCTATAAATAGTTGGACCACAATACTTGTCATTTTATAAAATTTATGCATAAATTATCATATTTTGCCTATTATACTCTTGATAGAATAGTTAATTAATCTTGTCATTTATTAATAAAGTTGACTTAAGAAAACATTAAATAAGGATAGAAGGGTAAAGTTATATCATTTCTTAATGCAAGTACAAAGTAAAAATGTGACATAAAATGGGACGGAGGGAGTACTAATTAATTGGATCCTTTTTGTTTCCTTCAATAATCTATAGGATTGAAACTGGGAGAGTACCCTCTATCCCCTACCCTCTTCAATATTACAACGAAAGTCTTAGCAAGAGATCTGAACACTCCACCTGAGAAAAGTGATTACAATATATATGGTCTCCTATAATGGAACCCAAGATCTTTAAAATTATCCAGTTCCATCTACGAATCACCCCTCAAATCAAGGATCTCCATATTCTAAAACTTAAGGCTCAAAACCATAAAATTGCCAAAATAAACAATGAATAAAACATTAAATTCATGATGTAATCATGGGGATTTACCATCCTTCGAAAAAGATCAAATTGCCTAAAAATCACCTTAATCCTAGATTTAGAACTCAAAAAATGGTGGAATGGCTTTAGATCTTGTAATTTACTTTTTGGTCACTATAACACCTTGTGCAGGATCACAGTGCTAGGGCATGACTGTGGCTAACAAGAAAAAAAATCAACGTTGCGCTATTGCACGATAGCGTTGCATGGTAAATTCCCCCTTAGTGTGATTTCATAGGGCTAACATAATTATGCTGACTAACTTGCCCTAGCATTTCCTTCTGTGTGATAGCTCTACCAAAGTCTTTCTCTTTTACTGCAAAACCACCCACATTCTGGTTTTACCTTCTGATGCTCATCGGCAGTCCTCGATGGAAAAATTAAATCATTTGAAGACTTTTATTGGAAATGGATCATGAGAATACTTCGTAGGAGCCTTGAAATGATGAAGAAGATGGAATCCCTCTCTTTAAAATTGGGAGTCATGTGTCTAATAAAGATGATAACATTACTTTTTTCTATTTAAGATAAAATATCACGTGCTATGCATCTAGGTTTTGTCGCACCTTTAATTTTAGAAAAAATCAAACTTTGGAATGGAATTGTTCATTTTAGAAAACATTAAGGATTTTCTTTGTTAACTGTAATACATTAAAGGTTTATTTTGTTAGAAACTTAGTACCTCTACATTTGTTTATATTTTACATGTAGAAGATTAATGGTACTTGGATATAAATCATATACTTTATTGTCTAAAGTATTCTATATACTGCTTTATTTGATGTGTCATTCTTTTAGAATGCAGTTACATTCAGAAGCTGGAAAAGGTCAGTTTGAAATTGTGTTGGGATACACTGATGGTGGTAGAGCAGCAAATAACTTGATAATTACACATGAAGTAATCAAAGGGGTTGCAAGGAAACATGGACTACTAGCAAGTTTTACCCCAAGGTAGTAGGTAGCACAGTATTTTCACGCGCATATTCTTTTTTTCTTGTTGATCTAGATATGTTTTTCCCCTAAGAAATCTACCACAAATATAATTTCAGTCCTTTTGGCATTTAGTTTATTAGATCAAATCACTCAAATCAAACATAACAACTACCATTAACTTGTATAATTTATGTAGCTTGAGCTAACACATTCCTCTCGGGAATTGTAAAAAGACTAATAATTGGAGGACAATAATAAAGACTTGATGTGCTATCCGCCTTCCGAGTTAATCTTAATAGTATCTTGTTCAACTAACAATAAATCATACATTGTGATATCAGAAACCTCGTATAGCCATCCACAAAATTTTGTAAAAATATACACCCGATAAAAATTATAGGGTCCAATACATAGGCATAAGCCTATTTTCTATAAAGACTTGGCTGGAAAATTTTGGTGGGAGAAAGAGGATAAAAGTGATGGAATAATAAACGTATAAGTTTTTTTTATGTACTTAGGCTCCAAGTTGTATATCCCAGAAAAGGGAGGAGTCATGTTGTCATTCTCCGAGCCTACATCCTATGACAGACACTCAGAAACCATTGTCAGTCCCAAGCGAATCATTGATATGACTGACTACTGAGCAGAAGACAAAACATACATATGGAATCCTTATAAAATGAACATTTAAAATCATTTAAAGATATCTCATGAAGATGTTTGAAGTAAATAAATAAATAATAATAATAATAACAATAATAATAACAATAATAATAATAATAATAATAATAATAATGTTTAAAACTTCTAAAATCCTAAAGACTGGAATGGCTCACTAACTTTGTCTATATATGAAGCCTCTGCTAAATGAAAACAGGTGCCGAGACAAGATCCATGACTACTTGACTATTCCACTAACAATGACTAAAAATCAAATAAACTGAACTAAGTGAAATGTTTGCTATCTTGATTACCTGAAACTGCATCATTTTATGATACAGTGCCTAATGATGTCAGTATATAGAATGTACCGGATGTAATAAGACTGAATGGAATAAATAACTGATTAAATAATTGAACTAAATGAAATTGAAAGTAACCTGACTGAAAGTAAAACATGAACATCAAGTGAGATCATTAAAGGTATACACTGAAATATGCAATAGTAACAAATACTTAAAGTAATATACTTTACCTTTTTGGGATAGTTTCTTTAACAGACAACTATTACTATAATTCTTGTGATGATACAACGTCTTGTCCACGTTGCTAGAACTACCCTATACCTTGCCGGAGCATAGGACGTAATTCAACTTATGAATCCATCTAAAAAGCCCTCAATGAGACTTGTGAGGAGTTGTCGAATTATGTCACGATCCTATCTACACGGGTGACACCGTTTATGGGGTTGAGTTGTCAGTTCTTACCCAAATCGATACTCAATACTACTCTCAAAATATGCATTAATGCTCATAATAATAATAATATTTGTTGTGAGTTAATATTCAAAAGGCTCTCTTTAGGAAAAACTGATTTTTACTTTACTAACTGAAACTCCTTCTGAAAACTATTTATGCTCTTCTTAAAATAGAAATACTTTTCTCAATGCAAAATAATACAGTTGGAACCATTAGTGTTTCCTTGAAGCTCTTCTCAAATGATAACTTAATATATTAGGGGTGTGTTTGGTATGAAGGAAAATGTTTTCCTAGAAAACAAGTTGATTTTTGACTTATTTTCTCATGTTTGGTTGGTGAGTAGAAAATATTTTTCGGAAAAGGCTTTTAGTGTTTGATTTATGAATGAAAAATATTTTTGAAAAATATCTTTTATTTTTACTAGAGTAGAAAATATTTTTTAAAAAACAAACTTAAATTTTTTTTTGGGGGTGGGTGGGTGGGGGGTCGAGGGTAGGGGTGAAAAAAATGAGAAATTGAAAATATTTTTTAAAAACAAACTTGAATTTTTTTTTGGGGGGTGGGGGGTCGAGGGTAGGGGTGAAAAAATAAAATTTTGAAATTGAAAATATTTTTTAAAAACAAACTTAAATTTTTTTTGGGGGGTGGGGGGCTGGTAGGGGTGGGTGGGTAGGAGGTGGGTGGGGGGGGGTCAAGGGTTGGGTGAAAAAATGAAATTTTGAAGTTGAAAATATTTTTTAAAAACAAACTTAAATTTTTTTTGGTGGGGCAAGGGGGATGGTAGGAGGTGGGGTGGTTGGGGGAGGGCTGGGTAGGAGGTGGGTGGGGGTGAGGGTCGAGGGTAGAGTGAAAAAATGAAATTTTGAAGTTGAAAATATTTTTTAAAAACAAACTTAATTTTTTTTTTGGGGTAGGGGTGGCGAGTAGTGGGTGGGTGGGCTGGGGGGGTCGAGTGTAGGGGTGAAAAAAATAAAATTTTGAAGTTGAAAATATTTTTAAAAACAAACTCAATTTTTTTTGGGGGGGGGGGGGAGGGGGGAGGGGGGCTTGCCGGGGAGGGAGGGTGGGTGATCGAGGATCGGATGAAAAAATAAAAATTTGAAGTTGAAAATATTTTTTAAAATCAAATTTAAATTTTTTTCTTTTTGAAGGGGGTTGAGGGTTGATAGGGGAGCAGATGGGGGGAGTGAGGGAAGTGAGTGGGGGGTAAAAAATAAAAAATTGAAATTAAAAATATTTTTTAAAAACAATTTGTAATATTTTTTTGGGAGGGGGTGGGGGTAGGGGTGAGGGTGGGGTAAAAAAATTAAATTTAAAAATGAGCTTTAAATTATTATTTTTTGGGGGGGAGGGTGGTTGGGGGACTGGTTTGAGGGTAGGGACAAAATAAATTGATTTTTTCAACAAAAAAGTAATTGTAATTTGAAGTTGAAAGAAAGTTTTGGAAAATGTTTTCCTTAAGTTTTGAAGGGAAGTCATTTTCCTTAAATTTGAGGAAAATGAGTTGATTTGGAAAACATTTAACCCAACCAAACATGAGAAAATTGGAAAATATTTTTCGGAAAATGTTTTCCTTCATACCAAACACACCCTAGGACTCACTTTAATTTCAAAATCAATGCATAAAAATAGTTGCACAAAGGCTTTCCACAATTCTTATTAAATAGGGTTCCTGTGATAAAATAAACATGAACAACAATTCAAGAATTAAAAATGCATAAATATCATAGTCCCAATAATAAGAAATCATCATAACTTAGAATAAGAAATAGAACAAAGTTTAAAATTCATGTAAACCTTGGGGTACAACTTTGAATTTAACTCTTACAGACTGAATTTAGATGTAGGGAATGAGGACGAACTTAGTCCATTACATTAAATATCCTTACATATATGAAAGAATAATGTTTTTGAAGAAACTTAAAGAAGATGATTGAAACACAAGTTTTCTCCTCCCGATTCTTGCTTTTAAGCCTTGAGAATATTTCTGAGTGTAAAGGGGCTGAACTATACTGATAACGTATTTAATTTGGTGTAAAAATGTAAGTGTTTAGGTTTAGAAGGGGTGGGAAAAATACTAAAATAACCCCTCTTAAAAGCTGACAAAAGCAATCTACAGAAGGCCATTTACGGTCCGTACAAATTTCCATAGGCCATAGACCCTCTCGTAGAAGCCAGACTGAAATTATGAGATTTCTGACATTGGGGTCTATGGACCCTTTTACGGCTCGTAAAAGATTCTACGGGTCGTCCTGTTCATCTGTAGAAACCAAGAAAACATAAAGTTTCAACACTTTACTCCACGAGGTAGTCTACAGTCCATAATCATTTTTACGAGCCGTAGAATTGATTCCTGAAAGTCGGGCTTTAAATCAAGTCTAAGATTTCAATCCACGAGACAAATCTACAAACCATATTTTCTTTTACGGATCATAAGCTGAGCTCGTAGGAATCAGATGGAAAGACACTATCTCTCAACTTTTTCTTCGGATGCTATCCATGGTTGATGGTTCATTCCACACGCCGTAAATACCATCTTTAAAGCCAGAAGAGAATTTTCATAACTCAGGACATGGTCTATGAGCTTCATCTACGGCCCGTGGTTTGATCTACTGTCCGTAGATGTTGCTCGTAAATCCCTAATTTGTTTAGAATTCCAGACTTCCAGTTTTCATTCAAGATCTTATTAAGGTTAGAATTTTTGGGGTGTTAAACATGTCTAACATATTATTCAAAACGAGTGAGAATCAATATTTAATAGAGAGATTAATCAATGGACATTTTCTAAAGCCTATGAAAAAATAGTATGAGTAATATTACATTGAGTTGTGTGAAATAAATGAGTGTTTTTTATTTTATTTAAAAGGTGTAATAGTATTTTGACACTCACTCTGAAGTTTTGATGATTTAACAAACTTTAGGATCTGATGAGAGATTAGATCCCAGGAGAGATTGAGAGTTTTTGTACATGAAAAAGATAGTTGTCTAAAGCCTGCAACATTCAAGTCTGCAACATCTGTTGTGGTTGGTGCGCGTCATTTGCGGAGCAACATACTCTCAGCCAATGACATGTCTCCAAGAGTTTGTGTCCATCCTATAATATATCCATTCCACATTCACACAAACTTCCACATTCACAGAAACTCAAGTTTTTTCCATCAGAAATTTTACAAAGCAAAAACCATCCTCTCAAGGAAATATTACTTGTAAATGCAAGGTACCTAATAGAGTTATCATAGTTCTTAGTTGTTGTTAGGGTTTAAATTTCAGCGATTATTCTTGCCTATTCCTATGCTATAAAGGAATTAGATCAGTTTTAATCTTTGTGTATTCATCCGAGTTTTAGCTAGAGTTACTATGTTGGGTTGTTGAAGTATAGATCAACTAGAGCTAGTGGGCAATAGAGTTATTGCTTGATTTTGTTGAGTAACAGAGTTGTTAATGTGAGGGAGACGGGATTGAAAGTTCAATTCCTAGATTACTATGCCCAAGAAAGCTCAACGGGGACATGGTCTTCCTATATACACCCTTCAGTAAAATGAATGTAACTCTTTTATTCTAATATACAAATATAAACTTCTTAAACCATTGGCAACTAGGGTCCAATGGCTATTATTTCACTCTAGAAATCATTGGCAAACACTCCTATATTGGGAGTCACATACATTTTTTTTTTAGTTTAGGTCATTTTTCACTAGCCATAATTCCTAAATCCTAAATTCTAATCCCTGTATTGGCTTTTACATTTTCTTTTTCCTAAAGTTGTCGTTTGACTCTTAAAAAGGTCTATGTAATTCCCAATTTATTGAAACACACTTTCAACCTTCCAGCACATGAAACATGGTGGAACATATAATTGAATTAAAACTTAGCAAAAATCTATGAGTTGTAACAACTTTATCATGTGATCTTTTTTGTAGGTATTATAACAATAATGTGTATCCCGAGACTTATGCTGATTCAACAGATGATGATGTTGGCTCAGGATCGGATGTACACATCAGTTTGTTTAAGAATGGAGAAAATGTTTTTATGGCATCTGGTGAGCCAAATAGGTATGGGATGTCCGTGATCGGAGAATCATTCATGGCTGGGGTACTAGATCATCTTCGTTCCCTATGTGTATTTACGATGCCCATCTCTAATAGGTAAAAATGTTTCAACTCTTAATGTACTGCGCTCCTTTGTGTCATTTCTTTGTGCTTTTGATCTCTCAAGTGCCAATTCATCCAAATGGCCAAATTTGTCTAATACAAATTTCTCAATATAGTTTGTGATGACACTACAAGACCATCTTCTCTATTTGAACAATGACATAATTTTAACTAATTGCAACTACAAGTTAGAGAGTAGTTATATTTAATAGCCTAATTAGTTCGAGTGACTAAAATGTTTATATGAAAATTTAGCAGTTTATGTTTTAATCCAATAGTTTGAATTGTGAAGGATCTATTTCTACTCAAAATATTTGTTTATCCAAGCAACTTGATATGAATATACTATATATATATATATATATATACTACCTTAAAAGCATGAACTCCTAAATTGAATGTTGAATTACTATAATATCCCCAATTAAAAGTACTCAATTTATTTTATTTATTAATTTAATTATTTGTATTATATTAAAGGTAGATAACCTTTCATATTAAAGGGTTATGATTTTCTCAAAAAGATGTGACTTTTCCAAAGGGTTGCTACTTTTTTGACGGGTTTTGACATTTTCGATGAGTTGTGACTTTTCCGAAGGGTTGTGATTTTTTCAAAGGGTTGTGACTTTTCTGAAGGGTTTTGCCTTTTCCGATGAGTTGTGACTTTTGACAAAGGTTGTGATTTTTTCGATGAGCAGTGACTTTTTTCGAAAGGTTGTAACTTTTCTGATAAGGGACAATTAGCACCTATTCAAACTACTATTTGCTAGCTATAAATAGAGGGTTTCGTCTTACTTTTAAACTACGATTTTTGAAAGTTTTCTACTCTTCTTCTTTTTAAAAAATCTAAGGGTTATTTGGAACAGTTGATTAAGTGCAAAATTCAACGAAATTTGAGGTACCACATAAGAAAGAGTTGGTGAACAAATTGTAGCAAATCATCCATAAATTCACACTCGTATTTTATCTTACGATTTCCATGAGTTAACGTGGCAAAAAGTTGTGGAAAAGACAATAATAATAAACAAATATGAAAAAGGTAACATGATTTGGGTAACATAGTTCTTCTTTGGTTTTTTATTTTTTATATTTTTACCCTCAAATGAAGCAGTTTCTTTCTGATTTTGCTAAAACAACAGGCATCATTGTTGTCCATTGAATCATTAGTTTAGATGTTAAATCCACTATTTCAAAAATAGATTTTCACTTTTACTTATAATATGATAATATAGACATTATAATAATTATTTTTTATTAGATATGTAAGTAAAAATGAACGAAGAAAGTAAAGTGTTGGTCACAAGAGATTTTAATCAAATGGAACACTATATTGAATATAGCACGAAAATATATTTTCTTCTTCCTTCTTCATTGCCTATGTAACGTTCCATATATTTTTTTTCTTGTCTTTTGTGTTCATTTGCATTTGAGAAAAATTTATGTCACAAGATACACTCCTTGTTAACTATATAAAAATAGATAAGAAAAGAGTGATTGACCATAAAATAATCTTAAATCAAATTTAAGATTCTATAAACAATACTTTAAATTTTATTCATCTATTAGTTTTTAATATTGAAAAAATTTAATATATTATATCACGGTACAACTTCTATAAGATTCTAGATACTTTCATTAGACAACAACTATATGATATGTATGTGGCAGGAAAAAAGGAGAAGACTTCAATTCTACAAAGATAAGGTAGAAACTTAAAGAAATGAAATATTTTTCACCAATGGTGATGTTGTTCATATATTAAAATTAAATTATGCTAATGATATATGTATATCTAAAACAAAGAATTGGTCAAGCTAAATATTGGACATACACTCAAACCTCAATTTAAGCAGCATTCGTCATAACAATAAAGAACCTTTTCTTTTTTTTATGTAGAATTACCTCTCTATGATAGTCTTACTCAAATATTAATTGGTAAAAGATAGATTACATATAAAGATAAAATATTGAAATATTTATGGTAATCCTTATTAGTGTCATGCACATACTAAATTTCAAGTATGAATATTTAAGTGAAAAAATATACTTAAATGGAGTCCCATCATTTATGTTCATAGCCTCAAGAGGAAAGACTATTGGTGATATTTTTTTGTATTGATACTTTTTTTAAATTTTGTTGGTTAAATCGGTTTACAAAATTGAGTGAAGTAAATAATAATACTACTAAAGAAATGTCACTTTCTCCCCAAATTTACACTTTAAATGTATTTTGAAATGTTTCAATAATATCTGGTCATTTGGATCTCAAAATATAAGTAACTCTATGACAATCATTATAAATCATTTAAAAACACTTGTTCTATGTTCTTTAAATTATAAATATTTACTAAAAAGTTTTAATTTAGTAATATTAATTATATTTTACAATATCGTATACAATATATACGATATGCACGTGCAACGTACGTGCCGTAAAACTAGTATATATATATATATATATGTGTGTGTGTGTGAGTGTGTTTTTCTTTTGTTTTCATGAAATTAGTTTGAGACAAACTTGTATATTCTTGGAGAGGATGTAAAATATGTTCTTTTCATATTTGGTTAAATATTAGTTGGGATAAACCGTCACACCTATCTATGTTTCCTTTTCCATTTTTCTAATGTGTCATTGTTGTACATTAATCAACTTTTTGTGTTATGGAATTTTCTATTTAATTATGTTGATCTTAAAATTAATGAATAATGCACAGTTATGAACGCTTAATACCTAAGGCACGGAATTCATCATTCATTTGCTGGGGGATAGAATGTAAAGAGTTACCTGTAAGAGCTTGTTGCCCTCCTGGAGCTCCAAATGGTGTGGTAACCAATTTTGAAATGAAAACATTTGATGGATCTGCAAACCCACACTTGGGTCTAGCTTCAATAATTATTGCTGGCATCGATGGCATGCGAAGAAAATTACCAATTCCACGACCAGTAGGTGAGTACCATCTTTTCTTAATAACTTTATTGCATTAAGAAAACATTCATTCATTTTCTTGTTAAACAGAGCCAGAATCTTATGACTTCGATTGGAACAACGATGGTATAAAAGTACCAGGGTCTCTTAGATGCGCTATTATTCATATGGATTCAGATAAATGGTTCAATGAAATGTTGGGTAAAGAATTTATATGCACCAGAGGATGAGTTGTTGGGGTACGTATCAATTTTAATGAGTTTTGCTTTCTCTATCATATTCTGGACGGACATTTCAACGATGGTTTCTTGTTTTGCAGGATGAGATCGGACACGATCTCTGTGGTGGAGACGAAAAATACAAGCACATTGTATTTAATTATTAGATTTTGGCTTATCTATTTGTAACATCACTATGCTCTATACTGTTCTATTTTTTTTTTCTTGTATCATATTTTATGTCTACTTGTCTTATGGACTTGTTTAATTAATTTTTTGTTTCTCACTGGTTTTTATCTTTGTTCCTCGCTTCTTATAAACGTAAATATAAATAAACTAGAAAAGGGGAAGATCATGTTCTATAGGGCTCAATCACCATTTTTTGAAATTAACACTTTTAATTGCAATATTTTTTTTGTTTCTTAAAATGAAAAATTCAATGAGGTATGCTATATTTAGAAGATATTTACTATGTATTACGATAAAAAAACATTTAAAACAAAATATAACATTGTTTTGGAATTAAAAAAAATACAGCGACACTCCAAAGAACCCATCTTCATCTCTATTTGTCCGCTTCTCTCTCTTTCTCTACTTTCTCTTTTTCTTTTTCTTCTTCAAAATTTTCATCCAAATAACTATCTCTAATTTCATATCTTCAAATCGATTTTCCCTATGTTTCACGATATTCACCCAAAGAGCGGCAAGGAGAAGAATATAAAGATCCAAAATTTATACGAAAATCGTGTGCGCAAGCAGAGATCTAAATCTCTCAAATTAAAACGACAAAGATTCAACATTGCTGGCCATTAAAAAGCTCCGAGCTTTGAATTCATTATTTTAGTTTTATGAATTTGTGATTAGTTTGAATTGGTATTACAAATAATTGAAAATAACTGTTGAAGTTTAAATCTCAATTTTAAGGGGAATTAGTTAAGTATAAAATTGATTTTAGGAGAAATATTAGATTAAAGCTAGAAGAAGATGAAGTTTTAGAATTGTCTCGCAATTGGATTAAAATTGAATAAGAATTTTTTTTTATAACTGTATCGAAATCATGAACAATACAAGTATATACATATTGCAGACATATCACCGCATTAGTGATACCAATAAGAATAATTTAGATAACCCACTCATAATATTTTTAAGAGAAAATTTCGCAAATAGACACCATAATAAAATTAATTATGCTCTTCTGCTATAGTTTGCATATTTATAGGTTGTAGCTACAGTTTAAACTGCTATGGATGACATCATTTGTATAATTTGCGTACGTTTGTATAATTCACGTGCATTTCCATAATTGAGCGAATTTCGTAATTATACAATTGTTATATTATACAAATTCCAAAATTATACAAATATGATAAAACTCAAAATAACGAATTTATACAAATACAAACATATGAACTTTAAACAATTATACAAATTATATTACACAAATTATATTATACAAAAGTGATACAAAATATATTATACAAATGTAACACCTCAAATTTTGGTGAAGAAGGGAAAAAGGGGTTTTGAGTTGCAGGCTGGTTCTACGGGTTCTCATCTACGGACCGTAGAAGCTTCTATGGGTCGTAGATGTCATCCGTAGAAAGAGAGGAAAATAATTTTTTAAATCAAGTCCTAGTAACTTTTTTACGATTGACTAGTACGATCCGTCCAATTATTGGGTCTCGTAGGTAGGTCCATGACTTGGTGAAATTTTAAGGCCACAAGTTGTTTACAATGGTTGGTGTCTATGGACCGTAGACATGTCTCGTCAAAGTCAATCCAAATTTTTTAGGTTTTTGAACTATTCTACGATTGACTAGGACAATCTACGGACCGTAGGTCCAAACCGTAAAAGGGTTTCATCAGTTATTTTTCAAGTGTTTTTGGGTCTTTTTATATTATTTTAAACCAATACTATGTCGTTTTGTCCCTTACCCTAAGCCCTATATAAAACTTTTATGTCACGAACGACTCCCCATGTCATGATGATACCTACTAAAACCCACAGTAGGTAAGACGACCTGTAACAAGAACAACAAGTAGTGAGTACAAGGGTAGAACTAGACATAAAATACATAAGAAAGGACATAAATAGGAAGCAAACCAAAACAATACACAAAGGAAACCCTCCCAGAACCTAGAAGTCACGAATATAGAGTTGTCTAACAAGATAAATACAAGTTCCAAAAGTGAACCACAACAAATTGTCTCAAAAGAAAAAGACAAGCTAACATAAGTATAGAAGGAGACAGGTTGATGCAGAACGTCAAGTGCTCACCTTCGTCTTCGGTATCCACAAGCTGCAAAAGACGGCACGAACGATAACCACTGGTAGCTGGTACTAGGACCTGCATCACAAAATATTGCAGACTGTAGCATAAGTACTAAAATAAGGTACTCAGTAGGCATCATAAGCCGACCGAACAAGAAAGATAAAGACAATTTAATAATATGGAATCTAGACACAAACATATGCCAAAATGGACATGAAAAGAAGGCACACGAGCATACTAGAAATGAATCTAAATATAGCTAAACTAAAACTAGTTGTACCTCCATAAGCCTAGAAGGTACACTCGTGCTCAAATTTAAATAGAACCCGAACGGACCCCCATAAGGCCGACAAGTAGATTGAATAGCTAAGTCTATAAGACAGAAGAGTAATCCAGATCTGAATCCAAGAACCAGTCAACTCCCAGCCTAGCTAGCAAGAGTGACAATCAAGTCTACAGTCAATTCCCAGCCCAGCTAACAAGAGTGATTATCAATCCAGGCCGCCAAGCCATACAATCCACTCCTAGGGGCATCAACCGCCTAGCTAGAAAGAGTGCCTCGAGAGTGTGTAAACTCTGTAGAGGATCTCAGATATCTAGGCTAAGTCCAAATCATGCTCTAAAAAAAGTAATCAAATAAGTAAATCACATATGATGCTACAACACACATGCAACCCTCTACCAATATGGTACTACCCTCAAAATAGTTGTAAGCAACCCTAAATCATGGTCTCTAGCAAGAAAAAAAGGAATAACTAGGTACGCACCCTCAATTCACACTCATCATCATGCATTCACACATTCTTGCTCAATCTAATTACAAAGGAAGCCGTAGCCTACCACTAGGCCAATCACGCACGCTCCAAATAACAACGCTGCCACACAATCAAAACTAGGATCACAACATTAAAACGATTATTTAGACACCAAAATCACCCAAAATATAGATGGACCAATTTTTAGAGTCAAATGGAAAACGTGGGACCAGAGGGACAAATTTACATGGCATCAAGTGGGTTCATCCGAACCCCCTTCGTCAAAAAATTAAGATATATATATATATATATATATATATTCAATATTTTAATTTATGTGTATATATAATATTGAAACCCCTGAACATATACCAAAGGCATAGCTAAGTGGTGAAGGGGGTTCATATTTTCACTTTGACAGTCCCAGGTCGCGTGTTCAAGTTTGGTCGGAGGTATTTTTTTATCATCTTAGTTTAAGCATTTTTTTTAAAAAAAAAATAGAACTAGAAAACGTGGGAATTAGTTTTAGGTATTTTTTGTGTTTTAAATAATGGAACTAGAAAAAGTGGGAATATGAGATTTATTAGTTTAATTCCTAATTACAAAGTCAAATATTTTTAAAAAATCCTTTTTTCTTCTAAGATCTTTCCACTTTTTCTTCTCATCATCTCTTTTTGTTGCTGTTGCTGGCCCGCCTGCCGCTACTGCCACCTGCTGTTGTTGGGAAGGGCAGCAATCAACTCTCCAATTTCTGTTAATAGCTTCATCGGTAAGTTCTTGGTTCGTTTTTTCTTTTACTATATTTATATATAATTTATTTCATTATTTCTTTCGCTTATTTGCCTGATTTATTTGCGTATCTATACCTTTTCACATTTTAATTTTTATATAGGAAAGTTTTGACTTTGTTCAACGATAACATTGAATTTTTAATTATTATTTTTTTGCTGATTTTCTATTTTTTTTTCTTAATCTAAAATTGTAGACATAGAAAAATCTAATTTAGTAATCAAATAACCATTGCTTAAGCTTTTTTGGTAATAGTTTTATTGTGTGTTTAATTCTTTTAAATTCTAACTAAATTCTTTCTTTAGGTTCAGTCACAATATTCAATGAAGAAGTGTTTTACCGAAGAACCAAAATCAAACCTAACCTCTCATAATCATAGTCAATCTAACCAAGAAGACAATGTCAATTGTTCGTAAGTACCATCACATTCTTCTTAAGAATTTGATTTGAGTTCTTTAAAGTTTGATCCTGATGAAAGAACCCCAATATCAATTTTTTATCCAAATCATCCTGATGTTATTAGAAGAGCATACCTTGTGAATGGTCCTTGTCAACCTCGCTTGGAGGCGCATGAGTATCCTCAAATAAATATATCTGGATCAATGCGTCATTTTAACCCCGAATGGTTTGATGGTGTATATCATGATTGGTAGGAGTATAGTGTTAGTAAAGATGAAGCCTATTGTTTGTATTGCTCTCTATTTAAAGACCATACATTAATCAAGGTTGAGGTGAAGTATTTTCATGTACACGATTTAAGAATCGGAATAAAAAAAGTGGTCTTAACAAGCATATTGGTCTACTAAATAGCCCACATAATCGGTCAAAAAAGAAATGTCAAGATTTACTACGACAATAACAATCTATTCAATATGCATTTGAGAGACAATATAATCAAATTAAGCATGATTATTATAGCCGCTTAAGTATTTCAGTTGATATAGTAATCCTTCTTATAACTCAAGGATTCACATTTCGAAGTTATGATGAATCTAAATCATCACTTAGTAAAGGTAATTTTTTTCCAGATTCTCTCATGGTATGCAAAAAAGTGTGATAAAATTCATGATTATGTTCTTGATGATACCCTCAAAATGATCAGATGACTTCTCCAAAGATTCAATAAGATATTGTGACTGCATGTAAGATAGAAACAATTAAAGCTATTCTTGAAGAACTAAATGGTGAGAAT